GGGGGGGGGGGGGGGGGGGGGGGGGGGGGGGGGGGGGGGGGGGGGGGGGGGGGGGGGGGGGGGGGGGGGGGGTTCCGTGGTGGTCCAGAAAATGGCTGAGACTTTGGGCCTTTCCAGATTGTGAACTTGGAAGTTGTGTTGAGCGGTTGGGATGCGGTGAGGGCTTGGGTTGGGGATGAGGAAGGGAGATGGAGGAGAGAAGGAGATGGAAGTAGAAGAAGAGGAAGAAGATGGCGGAGGGAAAACAAGATCGTAGAGAGAGAGAAGCAGAACAAAGAAGAAGTGGGGATATAAATGGGTTTAGAGTCTGTAGACTCTATCATATAGGGGTTTAAAACTTAAAAACTTTAAAGGGATGTATCTTGAGTTCTTTATGTATGCTACTGTCTATCTAAAATGTAATGAACCCAGTCTGGTAGATACTCCGAAGTCGTCAAACATCAGTAGTCTCAGTATCTGCAACAAAGTCTCCAAATCGTGAAGTGATATCTTAAACAGTATCTTATTACCATTAGACGAAGAGACTGGAGGGGGATCAGACAGAGGAGAGGGTGGAAGAGATGATAAAAGATCACACAAGAGTAATCCCATCAAACCCCTCTCCTTCTCCGGTCTTCTTCCCTCTCCACGTCAACAACCAGTAAATGATAACTAGTTATCCTGATCACACACAATAGTGCCACGTGGCACTCTTATCACATGAAGACCATGAAGACACAACAGATTTCCGTAACGACGTCAACCTCAGGTGAGTATCCGACCTCCCTCATCCACAGATCCCGACCTTCCTCCTCCTCACAACCAGTCACCTCATGTAGACAGCGTGGACAATGCCACGTCAGCAGTCGAGACAGGTGGCATACGCCACATCATCAATGAAGACCAAAGGCAGCGTCACATCAGAACAGAGGCAGCGCCACATCAGATGTAGACCAGAGGTAGCGCCACATCAGCATGCAATGTAGAGAAGAGGTAGCGCCACATCAGCATGCAATGTAGACCAGAGGTA